AGAGTACAACTCATAGCAACCCTCTGAACAACAGATCTGACCCCTGTCCTGTCCTGTGCTGTGCTCACAATCTCTGACACACCTGAGTCCACTGTGGCCACGTGCCAACCAATTCTGTTGAGGTTCTTTTTCTTTTTCACTGACCTTCCACCTTTCCAAGGATGATGTCCCTCTCCAGGGAATAGCCTCTCCTAACAATGAGCCCAGAGTGAGTGAGACAAAGCTTCCCCACCCTTGCTCTAAGAAGCACTCCGGTTGCCTTTTCCAATATATATTTTTGTTCTCTTGGCCATCCATGGGATACTCAGCACTCTTCTCCAACACCACAGCTCAAAGGCATGAATTCTTCTCCTGTCACCCTTATTCACTGTCTAGCTCCAATGCACAGAAGGTGAGTGGAAAGACCATGGCTTGACTCAGGTGCACCTTAGTCTTTAGACTGACATCATTGCTCTTCAGGACTTTGGAGAGGTCCCTGACAGCCGACTTTCCCAATGCTATATGTCTCCTGATCTCCTGACTGTTGGTACCAAGGGTGTTGGCTGTGAATCCAAACTGAAATTGTTGACAATTCAGACTTTCCCCGGCTATTATGTTGTTGCTATTGGTCCAGTAGTGAGGATTTTTGTTTTTGTGATGCAGAGATGCAATCCACATTGAAGGCTGTAATACTTGATCTTGTGCAACAAGTGCCTCAAGTCATTCTCGTTTACAGCAAGCAAGGTTGTGTCATCTGCAAAATGCACATTGTTGATGAGTCTCCCTCCAATCCTGATGCCACGTTCTTCTTCACAGAGTCCAGCTTCTTGAATTATCTGCTTAGCATACAGATTGAATAGGTATGAAGAAAGGATACAGCACTGATACATATCTTTCTTGGTCTTAAACCTTGTTCTCTTGCCCTGTTTGGACAACAACTTCTTGGTCTAGGTATAGATTTTGTGTATGCATAGTTAAGTGTTCTGGAGTTTTCATTCTTCTCAATGTTAGCCATAGTTTGTTATGATCCACACAGTCAAAGTTACAATCTTCAAACCTTATTGGCCCTTGTCCTACAGGGCTAAGAGTGGTTGACTTAATGCCTTGAAACCCTAGGCTTCACTTGGGTCTTATTCTGCGGAAAAATCCATAGCTAGGCAGTGGAATTGGGATTTATCTCCAACTTTGTCTCTGACTCACTAGAGGGGGCTCTGGAGGCCTAGCCCATGAGAAGTTGCAAAGGTCATACCCCCTCACTGGCCATTCCAGTCTACCAGTGAATGGATCCTCGGAAGAAATACAGGCACTGTCCTTTGTGATCAGAGCCTCAGAAACCCCACAGAGGGTCAGTGATGAGTCGGTTCCAACTGGACGACAATGAGTTAGAGTTTATCTGACCCAAGACCTTCCCCCCCTCTTACTACTCATGCTCCTCTGCTCCATGGGATTGTGTATGAACAGCCCCGATGTTTAGCCCCTATCAGAGACACAAACGAGAAAAGTAGTTCATTGCCTATGACCAAAGCTCCCTGAGTGGCTCCAGTGGTTTGTGTTTGATCACTAATCTGAAGTCCGATGGTTCAAATTCATACTGCAGCACCTCGGAAGAAAGTCCCGGCAAATTTCTTCTGCAAAGATTGTTGTTCTTGTTGTTGCTATATGCCATCGAGTCACTTGTGACTCACAGTATATATAACAACTCTGAACCTTGCTCTATTCTGAGTCAATCTTATTCTCTGACACACCTACCCTCATTACCCCAGGCACTGAGTCAATCCATCTTGTCGAGGACCCTCCTCTCCTGCACTGCCCCTCCACCCTCCTAAGCATGACATCCCTCTCCAAGGACTGGTCTCTCCTTCCAATATGCCCAAAGTATGTCAGACGGAGCTTCAGAATCTTTGCCTCCAAGGAGCAGCAGCCTGGTTTCACCCTCTCCAGGTTGAACCTGTTTGTTCTCCTAGCAGTCCATCCAATACTCTTCCCCAGTACCACAGCACCTTCTATCCTCCCTAGTCATTGGCCAGCTCTCTGACGCTGTAAAGATTGCAGCCAAAAAAAAGCTCAGGTGCAACTGTGCGCTAGAATACATGGGGTCTCTGTGAAGTGGAACCAGCTTGACGGCAGTGGATTTGGGCTTGGTTTTGTGTTTGTATCTGCAGCTGAAGGCAGGACGCAGCGTGTCAGCCGCCTGATTAAGGAGGCTTAAATGTCACGCTGTGGAGACGGCTGGAGTCCTGGGCGCCCAGGCTGCCGGCTTGGCTGCGCTCCAGCCCAGAGCCTGCTCCTCTCCCCACGCCAGCTCCTCCAGGTCTCGGGCCACTTGTCACCCTCTCCTCGAACGCACACATCTGTTAACTCTCAAGAAACGAGCAGCGGGCCATCAGTTCCGCAGAGTGCTTCCAGACAATGGTGCTTGGCTGTGAAACTCGCGGGACAGCCAGCGCCAGATGAGAAATCGCTGCGCCCCAGCAGTTCTACAAAACGCAGAGCATTTTTGCTGGAGCGGAGGGTCAGCTATGGGATGGTTTCTTGTCTGGCCATCACAAAAAATGCCACCTCATCAGCATCATCGGAAGGAATTTCACAGTGGGGCTTCTCTGATGCTTCAGGAATGAAGAGAGCACACACGAAGTGAGACCCAGTTCTTATGCCTCTGATCGGCAGGCCATTTCCATCTAACGAAGACTGTATTTCTTAGGTGTCTTGCAAGTTCAGCTTCCCATCCCTGCTAGAGGGTAGGAGTAAGGAAGTAATTTATGCTCTCCTCTCCCCTCCTCTCCCCTCCCCTCCCTTCCCCTCTCTTCTCTC